CTCTCTCTCTTTTATATATATATATATATATATATATATATATATATATATATATATATGAGAATGATTATAATAACACCAGTGTAACTTTTACTAAGTATTAAATCGTTCAATAACTTTATATTAAATGTGAATTTTGTAAATTCAACTATTAGATTAAAAGTTCATATCACTTTATATGTTTATATCAAAATTTGTTAAAATTGAACAATAACTTGAAGGTAATCAAAATGTTCATATTTTAGTATATTTTAAAGTGTATATATTATGTCAATTTTATTTTATAAGAATTAACTATAAAATCATTTTGAATTAATATAAATTTTTGTATACATGATCTAAGAATAAAGAACTTTTAATCTAACGATTGGCTTTACAAAATTTACATTTAAAGTTATTAAATATAATACTTAGTAAAAATTATACCGGTATTATTATAATTCTCCTCTCTCTCAATATATAAAAATAAGTATAAGTGATATAACTTAAAAAAAAAAAAAAAAACTTACCTTTTATTTTAGTCTTTTTCGTATCTTTTATTTTGTTTTGCTTGCTTTCCAAATAGAAACATATCTTAATGCGAAGATCAACCTTGTTATAAGACATTGCAAATTTAATATGGTGATTATGATCATGTCATCTTTAATCATGAGCATTGTCAACAGTGAACCAATCATCCTGAAACAGGTACGATTCCTAGTTTTATTTAAAACCAAAACAAGAAAAACTCCTCGATTCGCAAACCAGTCACGCATTTAAAGTGAGACACTCACTTAGGTTCCAATCCCAATGCATATCAGCATTTGTTTCTTCTTTCAGCCGCCAAACGCGAGAAAAAAGCAACCCTCACGTAACAATGGAGGCAACAACAGATTCCCTAGAATTCCCAATCGAATTGCAATCCAAAGTGTTCCAAGTGCTAAGCTCGAACGACAACACTGCAATGGAAACGCTATTCTCTCACCTCTACTCTCCGCAGCACCAGCACAGATCCCAAGCACTCGCGTTCCTCCAATGCTGCAAGCGCCACCACCCGGATCTCCTCTTCATCAAACTCTTCTTCCTCCTCCGATGCACTCCCCTCCCGGAGACACGCGCCAACGCCGCACGCGCCCTCCTCCTCCTCAATCCCGCAGACTTCTGGCCCAACCTCAAGCCCATCGCCCAGGCCCGCCTCAAGGCCCACTTCCTCACCTTCCTCGCCCTAGAGCCTTCCATCCACGTCCTCCGCCTCGCCTCTCTCCTTCTCGCCGAAACCCTCGCCGCCACCTACAAATCGCATCAAACGTGGCCTGAGATGCTCGACTTCTTACTCTCCTCCCTCGCCTCAAACGACGACAAGCTCCGCGAGGTCGCCGCATTGGTCCTCGCCAAGCTCCCAAACGACTCCCGTTTCCTCGTCTCCAACGCGTTCAGGGAGAAACGCAGCGCCCTGCGTCCTCTCCACGCCGCGTTTCTCGCCGCCCTCGCCTCCTCCAATCCGGACGTCCAGGTCGCCTCATTCGCGGCCGTCGTTGGCCACATCCGCCTCTTCTCCGACCCGGCGCTCTTCCACGAGCTCCTCCGCGCGGTCATGGTCGGCGTCTTCGCGCTCCTGCATGTCTTCGAAGCCACCTATTTCCGAAGCGCGTTCGCGGAGCTGGTGAACCTTGTGTACCGTGAGCCTCTGCTTCTGAAGCCGTACATGAACGATATGGTCCTGGACGTGCTGCAGATCGCCGAGAGCGGTGGTCTGAGCAAGGAAACGCACCGTTTAGCGTTTGAGCTGGTGGTGGCCATGACTGAGGTGAAGGAGTATGAGCACGTGTTTGTCAACCTTCCAAACTCCACTGCCCGGAGGCTGTTATGTGTTCCGATGAAGATGCTGCTGTGTGTCGGAGAGAACGGTAGTGGTGGTGGTGGTGGTGACAGTGTATCGGAAGGAGAGAAGGTTGTTGACGTTTATGGATTCGGGATGAAGTGGTTGAAGAAGCTTTGTGTTGCACTCGGAGCGAATAAAGCGGTGCCTGCTGCGTATGAAGTGTTGCGGCTTCACTTAGACAATGCCCAATGGAATATGCGCCATGCAGGAATCACAATGCTCAGTATCCTGGCTGAAGAATTCTCCGATGAACTGGTGACATAAATATTTTAAATATTATATATTATTTCTTTGTTGAGTAATCATTGATCTCAAGTTCTGGACTATGCAATTGTAAAATAATAAACCTAACTTTAACTTCGGTTGATTTAAGTTCTACTCACGTCAAAAACAAACGTGCAAGTATATTTAAATATTTAAATATTATATAACTGACGTACAAGCTGAATATTTTAAAAAAAATTTCGTTAACATTAATTAATATTTACCTTTTCTATATGTTTTGTACTAATTACAGCAAACACAAGGTGTTCTTAAAGAGATTGATTATCTTGGTGCGTGATTTGTTACAAAAATTTTGAGTTGTATATGTTTTGTGATGATTTAAATTTGATTACTTGCTGATGATGATTTGTTTGTTGTTGTCCAGGTATTGATGGACAATTTTCTAGGTGAAGTGGTGACCAAAGTTTTGAAGTCAATCCAAGACTCACATATTCAAGTTCGGTTAGCAACTTTCAAATTTATGGAGACTCCTACTAACTTTGTTCAGGCGGTGCATATCCTTTACCATCATAAACTCGTGCATGCTTTTTGCATGGCGCTCGACAATGATCAAGACCATAAAGTGAAGGTATGGTAGATTTGATTGACCGGTATATATCCCAAATTTTACAAAGTGAGAGACAAAAATGAGAAAAAAAAATATAAGAATGATAAAAAAGAATTAAAGTATCAGGTAATTTTTTCATAAATTGAAAATTTTAAATACACATTATATATAAAGATTAATTGACAACATAAACAATTTTGTTGGAATAAAATTTTATTAGTAAAAGAAAAATTTGAGAATAACAAATACTAGTAATTTTGGTGGAAGAGGATATATATATAAATGATTACTTCTTAATTTTGACTTGATACAAACTCTAAGCGATCACTCCTATTAATTTATACTAATGGTTCCTCCTAAATTAATGGTTAGGATTTTGCCAAAACTATTTTAATCTAGTGACTATAAATGGCTCACTAAATTATTTTTCATATATGCAAACCTATAAGTACATTCTAGACAATTCCATATGTTACTCTAGAATTATCTTCTAAAGAAATTTTTTTAAATTATGTTTCTAGAAATTGGTCTTTTATTTATATAAAAGACCCGAAATTAAGTTTATATTTCAACAACTTGATAGTTCTCCACCACCTAATTATTTCTCCTCGATGAAATATTTTAAAAACATGAGTGTTCAAAAATCATTGTTCAGAAAGACATAAATATGATAAATGATACGATATAATAAAAAATAAAAAAAAGAGAGATGGAGAGAAAAGATAGGTGTTAATAGAAAGTTTTTTTAAAAAAATAAAATCACTAAAATTCTGTACTTTAATAATGATGTGAATAGAATAGTCTTGTTAGCACTAAAGGTGTGTTTATATACATGTCCAAACTCTGTTGAACACCCATCCTTCAAATTTCCTAGTTACATTCTGTTCTTAGGAATGTGTGCAGTGTCAAACACAAATTAGCCTTTCTCAAATTCATTTTGTCTATTCATGGCAACCTACTAGGTCTAAGCATAAGGCTCAAGATTTTAGTCCACAATGACTCAAATTTAGGCTTGATATATGTAAGGATTTTTCACCCAACTTTTTTCCTTGGTATCCTAGGAAGTCTAAGCCTTGTGTCATGATATCAGCCTTGACAATGTGATCTTGGACATGTCCTTCTTTACCTTGACATCCTTACCAAAATCCAATTTAGTCATAACAATGGGACCTAATATCTAGGACGGGTGATATTTTACTTTTGGTTCAATGTGCGAGAAAGCATCACACCTCATTAATGTGACTCCAAAAGCTTTAGGAGTCTTAGTCTTCATATTGTCATGTCATGCAAGTACAACGTGCATTTATCTTGGCCTAAGAACACTTGGTCTAGGAGGGAGATTATTGCCAACTCGACCATATGGTATCGATCTGGATTATTATATGTTGAATTAAATAAACAGTTCTCCTCCTATGTTATGATCAAGATGTGTACCTCACAACATTGATAGGTTCTAGTACTTAAATTCTAATGAAGCTTTTAATTTTGAAAAAGAAAAAAATATACTCTCTCCTACAAATTATACTTTGTTTGTAGTGTATTTGACTCTTACTGTTTCATAAGCTTTGGGACATTGTTTCAAATTATTTATCTCTTTTGATTTTTAAATTTCTATCAGCAGTCCAGCTCTATAATACTAATTTACACTAGTTTTCAATCTTTGTGTGAAAGTAAGAAATAAACAATTACAAAAATAATGTCTATGACACATGATGGAATGCTCGTTAAATATAAGTGAAGGTTTGTTTTCCTTTTTTATTTGAAGGATACCTTTCGCAAAGAACTTAAGCTCTTACGTTATGCCTTGTAACTTGTTTTAGTCCTTTTGAATTTGATATGTAACATCTTGTACACATTTTAGCATGTGAAATTCTAAATGTTTCTTGTTCTTGTTGAACTTTCTAGCAATTCATCTTCAAAAGATGTTTCATGTCACTTGTCATACTCCTTTTACACTTGGTGAAGAAAGGCCCAATTTGCTCCCCCTTTATTTTTTATCTGTTACTTTTTACAAGGAATGTTAAAAAAATGACGTGAATAGTGTTTAGATATCTTGCTCATTTCCCTTCGTAAGCATGCGTGTCTTCTTCTCTTCTTTTAACTCATTTTCAAACATGTCTTATTAAGTTAATAAACTTATGTTGCTTTTCTAGGAACAAGCTGTCTCAGCAATGCTATTCTTTCTAAAGAACACCTTGCCAGAAAGCTTAACACTGAACAAGAATGGGGATATTTTAATGAGCAAATTGTTGCCATTGCTTCAGGTAAATAAAAATTATTACCTTGCAATTTGCTGGATTTCAGTGTCTGTGGAAAGGCTATCACAAATTAATTCCTTGAAAGATTTTCATCCTGAACTTTCCATTAAGGCTCATAATATTTGAATTCCCATGACCCCATCATTATGATCCTCTTATTTGATGTTTTGGGCCCTCCGTTTGCAGGGTAAAGAAAGTGCTAAGCAAAGAAGTATTGCTTTGTCAATTTTAAACATAGTTGCTCAACGGTGTCATGAAGTGGCTCACAAGTAGTTTTTTGAATCTTCCTTTTAGCTTCTTGTATGCTCGATACATTTAATTGATCTCAAAAGTTTGATACATAGAAAACTTACTGTTTGTTTTACTTGATAGGTACTGTGCAACCTTTCTTCCCATCTTATTGGAAGCATGCAATGATGAGAATTCTGAAATCAATGAGGTTTCATGCCATGTGACTGCTTGGTTTCATTCTTGATGCAGCTTTTCTTTCTCCAATTACTTTTTTTGTCCCTTTTCAGGAGGCAGCACGGGGAATTCGAATTTTTGCAGAGCTTGGAACACCGCAGTTGAAGCCTTTTGTCAATAGTATCTTGTTTGTTCCATAATTTGCAGTATTATTAATAATTTCACAACTAAGATCTGTTTTGTCTTTTTAGGGATATTGTTAGAACTCGGTGTTTTGATGAACCATCCGAATCGATCACTTTCAGAGAATGCAAAAGCTCATGATATTGCAGTTTCTGCTCTAGGAAGAATTTGTGAAGTCCATCGTGAATGCATTGATGGTTCTAAGGTAATATTTTCCTTCTTCTATCTATTGGTATTTGCCCTTTGTTAAAAAAAAATATGCCAGAATAAAAGTTCAGTATAATGTTCAATGAATCTACTAACATGTTTATGCTAACATTTAAGCAGAGCTAAGTTTACTGATTTCAAGATGAGATATCTGAATCTGATCAAGCTAGGCGTTTGTTCTATTGGTAACTATTTATAAAATGAGGAAAAAGAAAGCACTACTTTTTCTTGCCTCTTTATACTTGCAGATTGTTCCAGCCTGGCTAAGTTTCTTGCCACTTGAAAATGATTTGATCGAAGCCAAAGTTATGCATGAACAACTCTGTTTAATGGTTTCAAGGTGAAGAAGTTTAATAGAATATTTTGAACTATTTGCTTTTCAATATAAGCAGGTGTGGTTAACGTAATGCTTTAATATTTTTCAGATTAGATAAGGATCTTTTAGGATCTGGTAATCAAAACCTTGTCAAGATTATTGTAGTGTTTCTTGAGGTGAGTTATCCACACGTAAATACCAATTTGTCTGATTTCATTTTTTCTCTTTTGTCTGCCAATTTTGAGATGTTTGCACACTTGTCAATTTTTGGTCCCTCTTTAACTTTTAATCCACAATTTTGTTTCCTAATTTAAAAAAAAAATGTAATTTTAGTTTAACTGTGAATTTTACATACCGGTTTAAATTCAAAAGAGTTACTTATACAGAAAGTGAGAACTCAGTAATATTTTTTGTTGTCGTGTTATTTCATACATGCAGCATAACTATCACTGAAAATTGTGTATTATTACAAGTGTGTAGGTTTAATCATTAGAGCAAAATTGCAATTATTTTTTCAAAACTGGTAGATCAAAATGGCCTAAATAAAAATAGGAAACCAAAATTGTAGAATAAGAATTAAATAAAGAAATTTAACTTTTACTTTACGATACATTCTTGTCTAAAGAATGTCTAGGACCATTTACAGATATATTCTCATGTAGACAAATGTTGTGCAAGTTCATAGTTCCATGCATTGTCTCCTGGGATATGATTTAACTTCCATAATCAACTGGATTGAAAGGGAAAGCCTTGAGGTTATAGTAAGGTTGCTGCTGGTGACATGATGGTCACCAATTCCACTAGAGAAAGCAGCCTCTCCACTCAAGGGCAGTAAGGCCGAATACATTTGAATCTCCCCAAGTCCTTTTATAATCACAGATTGTATTTATGTGTGGACATTTTGGTGTTCCACAAAAGAATTACAAGTTATAACCATCTTTTAAATTGTTTATTTCATTTCATACACTCGAAAGAGAAACATAGATAATCACAACAAGAGTGAAGAAGTTGAAGGAAGAGTAGGGAAATGACTAATATACATATGCTCATTCTTTTTACCATCATGAATTTGACTACATCTATGATGCAAAATTTACTGTCATTTGATTGCCAGTTTGATAATTATTTCATATAATGGAAAGCCCAATTTGGTTGAGATTAATTATGAAATATGAATTTATTTTGTTGGATTTATATCATGGAACAATTTGCTAATGTCTTGCACAGTATAAGCATGATTTTTAAAATTATTGAATATTGGTCACTTTATCTGTTCTCTCCCGTTTTGGTGGAATATATTTTTATTACAGATTATAGACAAGGGTGACAAATTAGCTACAGCAGAAACAATGGAGCAGGTGAATTATTTGCTGAGGCTGCTTGTGCAGCACATTCCACGTAGTGTGCTTGACACGATTTTATTATCTCTGAATGCTCAGCAACGGGAATTACTATTGACTTTGGTATCCTCCTAGTTTTTTTATTACTTGGAAGGAAATTTAAAGAGAGAAAAAATGTATAATCTTCCACAGGAAGAAAAATTGTAGTTTTATTTCACTGTTGATTCTGCAGTTGTCATATGCAGAAAGAAATAGGTTGCGACATTACTTTCTGCAATCTCCCTTGCCACAAATATTGTAATTGTACTAAATGAAGAACTCTGTTACATGTTTAGAAAAAAAATTTTTTTCTTTCCAAAAACTTCATGATCGGAGCTCTTATAGTGAAAGATGTGCACTCAGCAATGCTGCGAAACTCATATTGGAATTCCTCAAACCTCCTATGGAAACTATCAATACTTTTAAAAAAAATTAAGATGCATTTAATACATACTGATCAAGAAAGAGAAAAGCCCGTGACGTTCATTATTTAGAGAACAATTACAAATAAAATAATATTAAATTTATTTTAATATTAGTCTTCACAATAAATTATCATTTTCTTAAAGAATGATGACCACAACATTAATAGTAATAACGAAAGTAATAATAACGAGAATTTGTCACTTGAACCCAATTTTCCAGTAATACAATAAACAGTAACAGTTCGAGATTCGTGGCACTTTACATAACAAAAAATCAAGATTCGTGGCACTTTACATAACAAAAAATCACAAGGTAACATTTTAATAAAATAAAAAGTTTCTTCACTCACTAAAAATTCTGCACTTTTACCGATTATGCAGTGTGAGTCATCAGCCTTCTAATTTTTCTTTTCAAAATTAAAAAAAAAAAGAAAAAAAAAAAGAAGTAAATATTGCTCCTTTCTGAACCTTAACCCTCATTTTTGCCCTAAACACCAAACACTGCCCTATTACTCGTCAGCCCACGTGCTCTGACCCGAAACATTTAGAGAATATCCATGGGCTTCAAGCCCAATTAGTCGTCAGCCCAACACTTTGATTTTTATTTCTTATTGAATTTGAATGCAGTTGATGTCATCTCTCTTAATATAATACTACGTAGTACTAGTAGGTCATACCTTGAAAATAAATAAATAAACTATTAATAAAATAATTCCTATATCCTTCACTCTACACTCTACAGATGTAGAGGACGAATCAGACCGTCCACGTGGACGATGAAGCTAAAAATGTTGTGCCGACGTGCATCTCGCTCTCTCACGTGTCGATGTTCGCACTGAATCTGCAGTCACACGTGGGACCTACCTTGATGCAATTTCTTCTTCCCATCTAGATAGATTCCGATCACAACCTGTCTCTACTGCAACTCAAAAAATGGCAGAGAAGGCCAACGGGAACAGCGTCTACGCCGATGAACAAGACGAAGAAGAACTGAAGTCGAACCAGAGGAAGGGAAGGGTAAAAGAGACCTTGCCGGAGGTCCTTAACCGTATCGCCTCCGCCATTCTCTTCCCGGAGCCCGCCTACGCCGGATCCATACTCCGCCGGATTAAGGTCTCCGTCTCCGACAACGCTCCACTCCTTCCGGACGCTTCCAGAAACTCCGCTCGCGACGTCATCCTCTGGACTCGCCGCGGCACTCCCTTCCGCGCCCTCTTCGTCATCTCCGTAAGAATGATAATAATTCAATCCGGTTCATTCTTCGATTTATTCATTGAATCGAATCGAGTTTCATCGCTGTTTAGGAATGGTTTCATTGTTCAAGCTTTTATAGACTGTGATTTTAGCTTCTCCGCGTGTTTCACTTGGTAAGATGTCTTGATCATGTAGATTGACCCGTGAGTAGCTGATTTCCAACTTAAAGTGGTCTAATAGCGAATTGTTAGATTTTCTGTGTGATTGGGGAGCGTTTGAAAAATTTATTGGAGTTAAAATTGATTTTGAAGTGAAATGATTAATATTTGTTTGGATTTTTTATTTTGAATTTTAAAAGTGATTTCGTAAAAAAAATAATAATAATGTAAAAATGTTGATGTAACGTAAATTCTTGCTAAAGTTAGTGTGTTTAGATATGCATTAATATAATTCATTTTGAATCAAAATGAATTTGCAGAATTGATTTTGAATAAATGTGAGTCAAAAGTTTCTTTGAATGTCAAAAGATATGAAATTAATTTTCATATCGAATGTTATTCGAAAATTTGTTATCAAAATTGATTGAGTGTTAATTATAAATTTGGATAGATAATCCGATCATCTTGAACACGATGAAATTGATTCTGAACATAATTTTGTCTAAAATCACATTATCTCAAATTTCAACGTAATATTAGATGATTTTAGGTGAATCCAAACACGCATAATAATTACTGTAAAAATTATATTTAGTGTGATTTTTCATTAGTTTGTAAACTTGAAACTTAAACTCTTATTAGTAAGTATAGTGTTTGTTTTACCGGTCACTCACGTTCTGATGGATTTGTTTACATGCTGATTATCATCATTAGGATTCATAGCATGCAGGGTTGTTTATTTTCTTGATAGTAAACATGGGAAAAATCACATGGAGACGCATGATTGTTACCTATCAGTTTTGATGTTGCTTAATCTTGTCCTTTTGTAGTCATAACAGTGATAATAATGATGAACCATGTTCTATACGTTTTTAAAATAATAAATTGAAATTAAATAAGAAACTATATAATATTCATATCAAGCAAGGGTTTATCATAAGATAAATTTATCTTTTGTTTTGAATGTTTATGATTTCTTGTTTTTCTTTATTGCTGCAGGTTGGGACGGTTGCTTTTGTTGCATTGACAGGACTGCTTGTATTTATGCTTTTCTTTCTGGCTGCGACCATAAATGCCATTGTCATATCACTGCTAATGTCTTTGGCAGCAGCAGGAGGATTCTTGGCTCTTTTCTTTGCTTTTGTTACAGCTATATACATTGGAGCATTAACAGTTGCCATATTTGCTATTTCCGTTACCACATTTTGGGCAATTGTGGCTATTCTGATAATCACAGGTAACAAGTTTTTTGGTCACCTCATCCTTTTTTCTCTTTCATTTTCCAGGGTTTTATGTCTGATTTTGTTTGCTATTACATTGTTATAATAACTTTCAGAACTTTTTTGTTTGCTCGTAGTGTGTTCAATAGTTTGAGTACACCACAGCAATAGATGTATATCTCTTCAACGAGATGTGCCTCTGAATAGGTTATGACATGATATAAACTGCATCCTTTAGTTGCAATTAGGCAGATATTTCATCAGATTAATGACTCTACAAGTGGTTGTTGCCCTTCCCAGTGTAAAAAAGTAGTTTTGTACACTCAGTAAGATTTTACATGTTCCCATCCTTGTTACTGGTTACTGCATGTATATAGACATTGATCAAGTGTAAGGTAATTATTTCGCATATAATTGCACTGGCATTTTGTTGGGAACCAAGAATTTGAATTGAGAATGAAAAGAAAGATTTTATTCTTGATTGCAAAGGAACAAAGAATAGGAGAGGATACTCTCCTCCAAGAGTTTCCCTTTCACAAAGGTGTTAATGCTCAATTTACAAATGGACCCTTCTATCCTTCTTACCCTATTTATATCTAATTATGCCCTCTAATTAACTAACTCATTAATACTCTAACTATCTTAACTAACTGCCCCTTTCATGTACTCCTAATGAGCATGGATTGTGTAATGGTTTATATGTTCACTATTAGGATTTTACTTCATTTGGCAGCTTACCAGTCAAACAGTAGCCATAGATCATCAACATTGCCTGATGTGGTGAATTCCATCCTTAGAATTTCAATAAATTATGGACTATTTTTGTGTACATGAAAGCCAACAGGGAGTTTCTGTGGCATCACTAACTTAACTGCAACTGCTTTTCTCCTCTTCATTCTAAAATATAATATGATGTAGATGTTTCTTTGATTGATTGTCGTAGTTGTTTTTTTATTTATCTTTTTGTGGGTTAACACTACTGGACATGGAAATCTATATGAACCAGGCTGGATCGGATTCATTTACACGGTGTGGCTGGTAACTAGAAAGAGCTTTGGATTTGCTAAACACTCGTTGGGCGTGACTGGCTCTGCAATTTCATCTTACACTACTGCACGGCAGGCACACCACCTGATACACACAAATTCAAAGTAGGGGATGATGATCAAAAGTGGAAACTTATGTACAAATCTTAAGCTACATGTGTGTTTGGGAATGACACGAGCTTCTTCTGGCTGGTATGAAGTCTTGTTCTTAGATCCTTCATAGTTTGGTTTCAATCCCTGTCTTTTGTTTTGTACTTATGAACTGATGGATGTTTTGATAAATAAGCCAGGTTATTGTGTGTTGTGTTTAAAGTTTGATGTTAATATAAAGCAGTGGCTTTTCTTCTGTAGCCCATCTAGTTGCCTGGCGTAGTACAATTTGTAGCCGATACGAAGTTACATTTGTGTGTAAATGATGTAATATTATTAAAAGAAAAAATGATGTAATTTTGGAACGAAGTATATTTTCTGCATTTGTGGGATCAAATATGTGCATGCGGTATTTCTACAACTACACATCCCATTATTTAATCACATCATATTCTCGTATATTTATATTGTTATAAAGCTAGAGTGCAGAATTCCTATTTGGTATTTTTTTTTTTTTAATCTTTCCACCAAAGATAGAATAGGGATTTTATTCCACCACTAAGATATAGCCAAAACAGGCTTTGGACAAGCACAAAAAATAAAGGGAAACTTTGCAGTGAGGCCCCAAACAATAAAGGCGTCACAACTTCAAAAGTGATTCAGTGGCCATATTATTGAGGCTAGAAAACTAAATAGTAACTTCTGGATTATGTTAAGCCATACGAAATGTGAACTAGAGCTAGAAAGGAAGCCGTAGATAAATTTAATTTTATGGGATTAGCTTCGGGATGATCCTTGTTTGAACCATTATAAGAGAAGGAACCATTATCGTTTCCATTTTAAGATCATTAACTATTAATAGTTTATTCGAAACCTTGGTATCCTGCAAGATACACATTTAACACGTTGATTAACTTCATTGAATCTTTAGTTTGTTGTCATTATAACCATGAGCTTCTTGTGGACTCAGGAGGGGATGAATTGATGACACTTGAAAGAAGCCTTTATTGGGCCCTAGTGCCTCTTACCTGAAGGATCGAGGTGTGTGTCAATGAATATCGCATAGATGCTTTATGAGTGACTCGTGGATTGACAAAAGAGAAATGCTCCAAAGCCTGGAAACCAGGCATTTCTTCAAGGCTTCTGTTTAGTGTCAGTTTGGTAATTTACTGAAACCAATTTCCGACTCTGTAATACAGTTTCGACGGAAAATACTTGATTGAGATTAATTTGAATATACTTGTTAATCAAATTAAACAAATTTTAAATTTTTTCTATTAAAAATATTTTTACTAGAATTCAAAACAGAGTAACAGACAGTCCGACCCTCTTTTATGGTCGAAAGAACAGCAAAGGGTAGAAGACATACAACGATGGGCTAGAAAAGTTTTCTAGCCCAACAATAACCAGGGTGCTCAACTAAAGAGTACAAGCCTAATAAGTAAATGGACCCAAAAAAGGAAAGCCTAATACATTTTGTTTTTGGTTGAATCTTATAAGTTCTGTCCAACCTTAGGCAAAAAGAAACAAAATCCTAGAGGGTTCGTTCATTATGGTAGTGGGTTTTAGTTTTTAAATGTAATTTTCAAGAAAATTTGTGTTTGGTTGAAATAGAGTTGAAATTCACTTTCAAGACCATTAGAAAAAAAAATTTGTGAATTTGATTTTTATATCTAAAAACACAGTCTCGTTTAGTTGTGATAATTAAACCCAAACTCATGTAATTATCTGACTCTGACCCAATTTTGATGGAAAAGAATCTACCTCAATGGGGTTCAAGTTCATAGATATAACTCCTATCCGTCCTTGTTCTATACTACCCTGCTGTATTTTTTTCTCGTTATGTTTTTTTTAACAGGAGAGCATTCATTTCGAGAGGTGAGTTTACTACTTCTAGATTACATTTAAAGTTTGTATAAATATATGTTTTTAAATCATAAATTATATTTTTAAGTTTATGATAAGTAATTTATGTATCACATAATATTATATTTATTTATTGATAGTTTATTTTAAAAATATTATAATTTAATATATAAGAGTTGATATATATTAAATTTAAAAAAAATTATATTTTCACTTACATAATTATTAAAATATAAATTAATTATTTAATAGTTAAATAATTTAAATTATAACATCAATTAAGTAATAAACTTAAAAGTATACATCAATTAAAAATATAAATTAATCATTTTTTTATTTTAATTTTTTTTCATATTTATTAGTTTTATTTATTATTTAATTTATTATAATTAATAATTTAAATTATATAAGTAAATTAAAATTATAATAAAATTGTGATGGTTTATGGATTTGCCACAACTTGGTAAAACCAAATGGGAATAGACCTTAGTAATATAAACTTATTTCTTTTAAACTTGAACTCCTCCTTATCCTTGCCTTGCCTATTATGCGGATGGAGAAAGCAAACTCATCCCTAATTTACCTCATTATCATGCTTATTTTTGTTGTATTTGATAATTATTCTTTTTGTCACAATTACTATTTTTACTATAACTAACACTATTGTTATTACTATCATTATTATCACTATCAACAATATTACTATCATTAATAATATCGTAAACATTACCACTATTATCATTATCATTATTCATATATTATCATTCATGTCATCATGCGAAAACACTTATAAATTAATTTTAACATGTTAGAGAACTTGCATACTTTTTTCTTGTATGATTTTTAAAAAAAGCCAGCTTTATACTATTGATAGGTTTGCTATTATTCGGTTTTTCACTCTTTTTAAGTTACAAGAATGTTATCGTGATATTAAAAAGCACAAATAGAAAGCTGAAAGGAAAAAAGATAAAGCCAAAATCACTTTTCATCTAGTTAAAATTTGAGAATGTTTAACATGACAATAAAAATAAAAATAAATAAAAATAAATAAATAAAAACTGCCACAGGTTTTTGAAATTTTCTATATTTAATAATAAAATATATTTGAATGAAGATTAATAATATTGAAAAGTTTGATAAAAATAAAAGTAAAATCGTTGATATTTTAAGAGGGAAAAAGACAAAATGAGAAGCTAAATTTTAAAAAGAAAAATTACTTTAAATATAAATAATTAATAAAATAACTTTTGCTGATTTATTTTCCGATCAGAAGATAATAATAATAATAATAATAATTTTCTATACCTTCTCTCTATATGATAAAAAAATCATTAAAAAATATGTAAATGTTGTTTAATTCTGTATAATTTAATCTTTCACCTCCTTTACATTCTTCACTTCCTTTAATTTCAACTATAACAACTTGAATTTAATTTAGTATTTCATCTACTTTACATCGTCTCTCCATACACCCTCTTTTTCAACTCTTGGATATTGTTTCTAATTCACTTTTGAAGCAAATCATTTAAAAATAAAGTTTGTATTGCCTCTTCTAAGCTATTTAATTTGCTCGACTTTTTGGATATGGAGCTACTTTTCATCGTCAAAGTTTGACAATAGTTTACACAACATTAAACTCTTTTGCACTTCTTATTCACTCAGCCAAGTACATTTACATTCAAGGTGTCCACATTTTCTACTTGATTGATAACCTCCTTATTTTCGTCATCTATTAGCCAAAAATATCTATTACTCCACCATTTGTTTCTGTTCCTTTGTCCATGTTAATTTTTCCTTCACAATATTCGTGTTCCAACTAGCTACTCAAGCCATTATGCCATTTCTTTGGAATTTTTTTGTCTTGAAATTAAACCACACCTCTATAATATCGAATGTCTTTATGCCTCAATTTATTTATTTTTTATATTTCATATGACTGTTACGTACGGCTCAATGATTTGAGAAACTCCTCTTCATTATTTTCTTAATTAAGTTTATAAAAATATATAGATATTATAGAGTTACACATTCATGAAGTCATGAATTGACATCATTCGATGACCTTCTAAGGTTAAATCTCAAATATATATTTAGATATTCAATTATCAATTCCGATTAGTTGACTATGTGAATGAATCAAATCATTAATTGCTGGTAACTTGAGTCTCCTTACTCATTCATTCATTTGATAATTTGTCCACTCATTGTTTATCGCTAACCTTGTATCAAGTAAATTTTTCTTCAAGAAAGTGGTGGTCTACTAATTCTAGCTTGTCATTAAATTCACAAAACTTTAATTTCTGTTTCTTTCAGGATCGTGCTCGATTCTTAAGTGATTCTTGAAAAATGACTTCTAAAGAATTACTTAAGTTAAAGTGAAACATATCCTCACTTAAGTGACATTAGAGAAAAGAGATTTGATTGTCAAATCTCATTTGACTATCATTACTCACATTTAGGTGAGTTAAGAATAGGGATAACAATGGAACGAGACTATACAAGTTTTTCAATCTTCATTTTCGTTCTCATATCCGACGGATATAAAATTTATATTTCCATCTTGGTACCTATCAAGTATTAGGTATACTCATACTTGTCTTGAATTTATCCAAAAATTAATTAAATTTAATTTTTTTAATATATATATATATATATATAATAAAATTTTCAACATAAAATAAATATTATAAAATTATATTAATTAAACTTTATCTGTCATAAATAAAAAATATTGTAAGATATTACATAAATTTTAAGTAAATTCTAAAAAAATAAATTAAATATTTATAAATTTTAAGCGAGTACAGACACGAGCATAGGTACAGGACGGGTATATATATACTCATCCCGTTATCATACCTGGTTTAATGAATCGGATATTATCTATACCTATATTTGGTCAAAGTGGGTATTCCCTATCAAAGTTGGTGTAAGATGTGATAATTCTCACCACAATTTGTGTGAGGCAAACAATATAATTTA